ATTTTACTATTATTAGCACGATGCCGTTTGATCACGTGAATGCAAAGCAAAGTTTGTGTGCATGTAAATATTGAGTGAAGCGCTGAGCGCACACTTCTCCTAATCTGCCTCCGAATTTGTGAAAGCTTTTATTTGGCAGGCGCGTCAGGCGGGCGGCAAATGAATGAGTCCGACATTCGTGTTTTTTGTGCAGTTCCCGCGTCGCCTGACAGATGCTGATCGCACCGAGCCGATGTCTCGTTGATTGTCCCGCGACGTCACCGCGGCCCCCAGATGCCGGCAGGAAATCGCGACGGAGCGGGGCCAGCGGCGGCAACTCGTTGGCAGGGTGGCACGGGGGGGGGGGTCAAAACTAGCACTGAGCCGCCACTGTTAAGATCCAGGGGGGCTTCGAATCCGGGTTTCAGCCGAAGCCCGCGATCAAACCGGGTTCTCTTAAGGCCACAGCGCCGATGATTGTACGAAAACTTTTTTCACTTCAATTTGGCTATGTGATTAAACAATCTTCGTAAATCTTCGTAGGTAATTAAAATGATGAAAAGGCCTATTCGAGAGGCCTCAGGCCTGTGATGTCATATTGCGAAGCCATTCACTGACACAGCGAGACGAACTACACAGTTTCCATTAGAAATGTCCTCGTCATGTGATGCGATGCCGATAGCACCATTTTATTACAATTGGGAGAGAAGGTATTCCACTGATGAGCAGAAAAACACAAAAAAATAACATGCTGTAGTTAAATATAAACGTGTGGATAGTCAATCTGTCCTCGTAAACAAAACAACACACAATGACTAATTTTAAAGAGGGTCCTGCATATTTCGTATTTGTCGATCAGCGTGTGGACCTCCCAGGCCAATGTCTCACAGCAGCATGATATATATTTTGTTCATTATTTATTAATTTCACGTAACTCTCTGTAATGCAACATTTAAAATAAGGCTAAAATGTTTGTTTTGAGAAAGTACCCACCTACGAATTACAGCCCCGAGACAGTGGTGGAAATTCAACATTCCTATGGCAGGGGCGAGCCGATCCATTGGACAATCACTGTCGACCTCCCCACAAATCGGTACTAATTGTATCGACCCCGGAGGCAGGGTTGGCTGAAATCAGCTCCCAACCAGGATTTTGAACTCGCGACCTTTCCCGACTTTCGATCCGCTCGCTCTGCCCTGAGCCGTGTGGAGCGCGTGAACTCTGAAGCAGGCTTGGGTAAGGCAGGCACTGGGCCTGCGGTTACAATTGGGAGACATTTATTGCCACTTGTAGGTACGTGTGTTGAACTTCTTTCGCACCGTACGTAGCCAATCATGCCCATCAGAGGCGCCAGGAACTTATGCGATTGCAAAAATATTAACCTTTGCTCTCATTCATTGTGTCCTGTGTGTTTATATGGGGGCGGGGGGGGGGAGGTAAAATGAAGGACGTCTAAACATATACATCTTGGTGTTTAATAGAACAAATTTGAATCGGAGGCAAGGGTTGGCGGATTCACGTAAATTTGTGAAACTCCCGTAGCCATCGGCCTTCCGTGGTAGTCAGCAGATGGCAGTACAGCAAGCGGGTGTGTGAGCCAGTCTGGAGCAGGCGCGTGACAGGTTTCCACAGTTGCATGGGGAGGTATGCTGGATATGGATTGCCGGTTGTAAACATATACTTTAGGTTTGCTGACCCAGACAGAACCCGGCTGAAATGAAGCCCTGCGTGTCGTTATCATGGTCCCGGGCTTAGACCATCAATTCGCTGCACTTTAGAAGCCGGTTTAATCGTGAGGTCGCGAACCTTCGCACTTGCCCTGCCGTCCATCGAACTGAACATTGTCCGAAGTGGAATTTAGGCAAAATAAGTTACACGGCAATTTTGAGATGATGGATTGTCAGAGCAGTCATCGCATTCGTTCTGGTGCCATCATTGGCGACTCACGATGCTGGAGAACCCAGTTTAAGCACAGGCCGGGCCGCTAAAAAACCCCGGAATCCAAACCCAGGCTCTGATGCCGCGTTGTCACCTCTGAGGCACGAAAAACCGGGATGTATCACGGGAAGGAGATTACTTCACAAAGCCAAAAGAGGGGACAACTGCGTGCATAAAAATGCATTCTCGCTCTGGTGGTGCATCATCACCCCCGTGTTACGCAACTGGCCAAAAAACTGGGACTTCAAATGTCCTGGGAAGGCTGACGGATTTCCCAGGCCAGCTGCTGCCTCCTCAAAAAAAGAGGGCGACACCTGGGCAAAGAGGGGCAGGTGGGAGCCCTGCTCTCAGCGTTGATGTGTCTGTGGCTGCTGCTGCAGCAGCCCGCTCAGCCACCTGGGGCTACGTGAGAGCCCATCCCACGTGCTGCGCCGGCTGCGGCAGAGGCGTTGAATCTAACGCCGCCGCCTCCAGCACCCCTCCGCGCCGATCTTGCCAGGCCGCGGTGATGCGTCTAACACCTCGCAGAGGATGCAGCGGGGAAGGGAGACCGGTTGTGGTGCCTGGCACCAGCAGATGGGAAGGTTGACTTGCCCTCTGCCTATGTCTCTCTTTACATACTTATAGATATATAAAGACTGGAACGTCGATAAATATAATGTGAACACTTATATGGGATCTGACACCTTGTAAAAGGTGTCTGGTGTTTGAACGTCTTAACACCTGTATTATTGATTTTAGCAAAAAAGGGGTCCCATAGATAAAACCACTGAACCCGAGCTATGAATGCTTTGATGTTTGCATTGTCCTTGGACTGATCACTTTTTGGTGGTCTTTGTTCTATGAACCGGTGAGATAAAGCCATAAAAGAGGCTGTCCCTGGTGTGGGGCAATCAGTTTCATGGGCGACGCACACATTACCAAAGCATATTTGTCTGCATGCTTTTACCACAAGTATGTGTGGTTATTGCAGACTTAATGCCTTGTAATAAGTGTCTACTTGGTGTTTGAACGTGTTAACAGCTTATGTATTATTGCCACAAAGGGTAAGGCCATTTCCTTGATTTAATTATCACAATACAAACCGCACAATTAGCCCATTCCCCCAAAGTGTGCCCGATTTCGTCAGATCTCGCAAGCTAAGTGGGGGTTGAGCCTGGACGGTACTTGGATGGGCGAACACCGCCACTCACGCTCGGTTGTTATAGGCCGCTGCGGGTCCGTGCCATGTCGTTGTGGGCAGAGAGGAAGGGAGTCGCTGTGCCGTACATCGATGCTCCCGTGCCAACGTTCGCCACCTTTGCCAACTCCCAACTGACTGTGGAGGGAGGCCTTTATCTGTGAGCGGATCTCGATCATTTAACACGCATGCACAGATGCATATATTACATCCATAATGCAGGTTATTTGGGTTAGATCGAGTAAATATATAAATGTGTCCTTTTTTTTCTATCTACGTGACTTTACCGAAAGAACCAGAGTGTATGGATTCCTGCAGTCACGAAAGCTTCAAATCAAGATATAAATGTTGTGTCTTTAAACCCGGCACAGCCAATGAGTAAGGGTTGTCACGTAAACAGAACGTGGCCAATTCGCCACTAGTACAGGCACAGCACCCCGGTGTGTTGGAGAGCCAAGCCACAACATTTACAATCTGATGAAGCTAGTTGTAATTACTGGCGAGACGTCGTACTAACCCCCAACAAAAACCTGTATTATTGATGATATTGGTCACGAAAGCCTACGTGTTAAGCATATATTACATTTTAACATAATCTGGCTTGTGTAACAATAATGTTGTTGTGTGCGTGACGAGCAGAACAATCCGTGTTGCCTGCGTGGCTTAAATTGTTTAATCTGCATCGCCTGAGTGGTGCGGGAGAACTCACACTTTACCCCGCCCCGTGCCACCTGCCGAAGGTAAGGGCACAGCCCCGCGATGGCCCGCTCACGCCACTGCTGGCGGAAGGCCAAGTGTTTACTTACTCGGCCTACTCTTCCACATTGGCCAGACATCTCGGAAGAGGTCGAAGTACCCACACTTTACCCCACGACACACAAAGCTGCTGATCGACTATCTGTGGGGTGCCCGTGTTCGTTCGTATTTGCGGGTGGTCAGCGGCTATGGGGGCGCATTTGTGTGCACGTTCAACTTCTTTTGCACCGTACGTAGTCAACCACGCTTGTCGCAACACTATCACCATCGCAGCGTAGGATTTTCGCGTTCATTTCGGGTGGTGCCACGCGTCGTTCTGCACGGTTTTCTTTTAGCTGAAGAAGCTCCCAGCACGCGGAGTGAAACGTCGGACGACATGCCGAACGACGCGCGCGGTTTACGACCGCGAAATGCACCGCCGAGCTAAAGCCGCCGCGCTGTTTCGAATTCCCCGCGGAGGCGGATCGAATCGACCCGGCGGCCCTTTGGATCGCGAGAGTCCAGTGCGCTGACCACTACGCCAAAGCGGCAGGGGAGCATCGCCAGCGCATTGGGCGGCCCGCAATGTCTCCGGCCCGCGCCTCAACCGCAGCTCCCCAAAGTGACACGACATCCCCAATGGGCAATCTCACCTCGCTCCAAATAACGGGTCGCAGATCCACGCCCCTGGCTCGCAGAGAGACCACGGGGGGGGGGGTGAGGGTGGAGGGAGGGGGGGGCATGCAGGTTGCTGTGGAAGTGTGGGCTGGACGGAGGGCACTGCATCAGCAGGAAGCAAAACAGAACTAATCGGTCGCTTGGCAACTGTCTCCCTCCCTCCTGCCCTCGTTGGCTTTAACAGCCCCCCCCCGCCCACGATTCCCCCCACAACTCCTCTGCCTATCTCACCTCCTGCCCACCCACCCACCCACCGCCACCCCCACCCCCCCCAGACGGCCACCCCAGCCGCCGCCTCATCCGCCCCCTCACTCGGGGATGTAAATCTTTCCCTGCGCCAAATCTGACGGCATTACCCGGAGCGTTCCATTCCGCGCAGCTTGCGAGATACAAGCGGGGAGGAGGAGAGATGAGAGAGGGGAATTGAGAGGGAGAGAGGGAGGGAGAGGGAGAGAGGGAGGGAGGGAGAGCGAGAGAGTGGGAGAGAGGCAGGAGAGAAGGGGGGGGGGGTGGAGGCAGACGGAGTGGGTGGTGCTAGAGACGCTGGGAACAGCACCGGACGGGAGCGGAGCGAACGATCACAGAGATGCAGCTGCGCCCGAGGACGCCACCGGACGATCACGTTCTTTGAAAGAGAAGCGACCCAGCGTGCGACAGCAACAAACGAGAACTAAAGCTGCGGCGTGGCCGCCGACTGCCCCTCTGCTGAGAGGTCGACTCTCGGTCGACTCTCGGGAGAGAGTCGACCTTCGTCGGGATGTAACATTTGATGACTGTGCTGCTCGGTGGCTCAGGGAGATAACGACGATGACGGTGGTGGTGACGATGACAGCTCTCGCATCGAACTGCAAATAAATACCACCCCCCCCCCCCCCCCGAAGCTTACGGACGTCCATTCAAGAAAAAAACGAATCGGATTGCATTTTTTGTCGCCCTCGTCTTTGTGGTTGTCGCGGCTTTTGCTTTTGTTCGTCACGCGCGTGGGCAACGATGGGGCTCGCGGAGTTCACCGGGGGACGCTCGGGGAGCCCGGCGGTCGACGGCCGTGGTCACCCGTGCCCAGCGACGGCGAGAGGGGCCGCTCTCGGCGGACCGCCGTGCGGCGTCGCGATCCACAGGTTGACCGTGGGCGGAAAATACTGAGAGCGACGGTCGCTCGACTCTAAACGCGCGCGGTGACATTAAGAGCGTAGATCTCTCTCGTGAGTTCGGGCCGATCTTCCCTTCGGTGCGGCAGTGGTGATCGCTTCCTCGCCGGCGTCTGCTGGAAGTTTAGCAAGAGACCTTTGAGCCTCTCTGGCCCGACGCTGCTGCTCCTTGCCGCCGCTTGCTTGCTGCTGCTGCTGTCACTGCGGGGTAGTGGCAGCAGCAGTGAAGGGAGAAGCCCGCCACCCGCTCCGAGGAACCCAGAACGATGAACAAATCGAGCAGCGTGGACTCCGACGACAGCCGGGGCTCGCCCTCGTGGCGGCCTCGCAGTTTCGGGGACTCATTTACCGGCTACGGATACGCCGGGGCCACGGGGGGCCCGGGAGGCCCGGGGGGCCCTGGGGCCCCCGGCGGTCCCGGTGCCGCCCCCTCCGCCGGGCCCGGCTGTCCGTTCTCGCCGCCCGGCGCTCGATTCTGCGCATCGGCCACGGGCCCGGGCTTCGGCGTAGGAGCGAAGAAACCGCCCGAGAAAAATGAGAAGTCGGGCGGCGGCGTCGGCGGTGTCGGTGGAGGCGTTGGAGGCGGTGGAGGAGGACGAGGGCCGAGTGCCGGAGGGGACCGATACACGGCCCCCAACGGCAGCAAGGTGGTGGTGTTTTACCTGGATCTCTCGTTTGTCTTTTTGCTAGAGCTGAAACGCTGCAACATGGCTCGAGGATGCCACGTCTGCCTCAAGTACATGATGTTCATCTTCAACCTCATCTTCTGGGTAAGTGACGGCGGCCGGCGCCGTGACACGCGCACGCACACGCGCGCACGGGCGATCGTGCGGAACCATCGCTCGTTTGTCTCCAAAGTTGCCAGCGCGTCGCTGCAGTTCTGTTTTGCGCGCAAAAAAGACTTCACTACGGCAGGTGATTTGCAGTGGCTACAATGGCAATGATAACGTTCGCTGTTTATCTGCGGGAAAGCCTCGCCGAGCCTCCAGACTCACCGTGGAGGCCCCCCCCCCCATCTTGCGACGTCCAGCGCATGACAAAGTGTCGCGACTTGGTGCGGCGCGTAAAATATTCGCGGTGGATTGTCTTTACGCGTTATTAAGTTCGTGTGGGCACGGTCAACAATCGCGATGCGGAGGTTGAGTTTCATTTGGCCGCGACAAGGTTGGGACCACTGCCAGAGGTGAGTTCCCCTTGCCGGAGGAACCTCCGGCGAGTAAATAATTCACCTGAACCGCCTCGCACGATCACCTGCAAGTTACAAACTCCGAGGAGCTTGTTGCTTGCCCGGCAACATCCACGCGCTCGCGTGCACACGCACGCACAACAGAGCCACTCTGAAGGCCGGCGCGGAACACGATGGGGTGGTGTGGTCTGGAATTACACCCGGTGGCGCCGCCTTTGTCTCCCCAATGTTGATGTTTACACACCGCACCAGGATCTCATTTAAAGCTGAGTCGACCTAGGCGGAAGCCCAGGACCAGTTCCAAAATCCGACACTTTTGTTGGTAATGAACGGGAATCAAACGCGGGTTGGCTGGTTTGTGGAACGGTGAATTAACCACTATGCTACCGCTCCCCACACGCAGACACAAAGACAAAGATCTCTCGTATAGCCTTAACAGACTGTTGAGGCGAGTGCTGTTAGCGAACACCTATGAAGGCTGGAATGGTACACGAGGGGGTGGGTGGCCAGCCCCACGTCCGGCAGCCTTTGTTTCCCTAGTGGCAACGTATTTACACATCGCACGAGGTACCCAATTGGGGCTGAGTCGATCTAGAGGAGGCCCAGGACCGGTTCAAATAATCGTCACTGGCATTGTCCGTGAGTGGGAATCGAACCCGGGTCGCCGTGGTCAAAGTGCAGTGCGCTAACCGCTGCGCCACCGCTCCCCACACACGCAGACACACGTGCGCACACACACACACACACCGACACGTGCGTGCGTCAACGCTCGTGCCGGCGAAGGGCGGCGTGGCACGGCGGCGCCCGTGCTCACGTGACCTTCGATTGCCCACCGGTGGCTCGAGGGGCCGCGAGGTGGCACGCCATCGTCACGCGTGACGGAGTTTCCCCCGCCTGAGTCCCGCGCGCGTTGAGAAGTTGGGTTGTCGCTGTGGAGCCTTTCAGTCTCCTCTCTCTGTCTCCTGGTTGTCGACACAAACCTCTCGTGCTGCTGACCGCACGCTCGGGCGTTACTGCTTCATACCTGTGTGTGTGTGTCTGTCTGTCTGTGTGTGTGTCTGTGTGTGTGTGTCTGCGTGCGTGTATGGGGAGTGGTAGTGTAGTGGACAGGGCACTGTGCCACGAACCCTGCAATCCAAGTTCGATTCCCGCTCACAGCCATCTGAACCGGTCCTCGGTCTCTCCTAGGTTGACTCGGCCTTAAATGGTTACCTAGTGCGGTGTGGAAACATCGCCACTGCAGAGACAAAGGTGACCGAGCGTGGTGATAGCCACATCACCTCCTCATGTGCCGTGCTGGCCACGTGTTTGTGAGCGTGCATGCGAGTTTTGAACCAGTTGCGGCCCTCCACTAGGTTGACTCGGGATTAAATGAGTACCTTGTGTGTACATCATCATTGGTACCGGCAACACACCACTCCCCTCTGTGTCGTTCATGCCTCCACAATAGGCGCTCGCGAACAGCAACCGCCCTAACTGTCCGCTGAAGGTCGCGCGGTTGGATCTTCGTCTTTTGTCGACGTGCGAATGCGCGTCTCTGTGCCTGCAACACGCGCCGGGGGCCGCAGGGCAAGCGCTCGCTGCTCGTTGCGGGAGTCGCGCGACTGCGAACCCCCCCCCGCCCCGCGTGTCGGGGAACGGGAACGGGTTAACGCGGTGCCGAGGGCGCGCTAAACGCCGCGCGCGCACGGAACCCGAGCACAATTTGGCGCAGCCTCCATAACTCAGCGGACTAAGCAACTCCATTACGGACGACACGCGCTCGGAAACTATCACTCGCGAATGCGACAAAGCCTCGCCGCTTAAAATTCAAACGTTTGCGTGACGGGCGAACACGTTACAATGCCCTTGCAGCTCGATAGCATAAAAAAAAGACTTGTTATAATTCTCAGCTGTGCACGATATTAACATTCATCGGCACGTGCGTTATTACAATTGGGGTATCGCCTGTGCCGACACCGTGTGGAATCTGCAGCCCCCGCGGCTCATTTATCCGAGGTAAGTGATTGCCGCGAGAGTTTCTCCGCCTTCCGATCGTCACGGCCCTCCACTCTGTTGACCGTGAGACCGATGGGGTAGACGCAGCACCCAGGTGACGTGGAAGCCACCCCAGAAATCACTTTGGGTGAGAATCGACAGACAGTGACCCAATACTTTTCGTCAATTTTTTTACTTTACGGGCTGACGTAATAGCCACGAAGCTCCACGCAAAGTGGGGTCCTTGATCACAGCGGGTGTCTTGACCTGCCATTTTAACACGGAAACCTTGATACCCTGACATTAAACTCTCGCAACAATCCAGGCCCTCGTAGCCACAGGAGGTGCCACACAACGCTGTCATCCAGTGCGGAAAGTCGGCGACGTTCGGGGGAAACGCTCGTTTGTCACACGTCGTCGCTTGCAGAGTACATTGTCTTCCTGCCCACAGTTCATGTAGTTCCCTGCTAAACTGCTCCCAAGTGATAAACGCAATGTCTAGTTTGTCAATTTTGAACACGGTCGCTTCTGCATCTTAGCCCCCTATGGTTGGCATGCTGTTTATCTTTTTTTAAAATTTTCTTAATTTTTTGTTTAATTACTGTCGACATTTTCCCCGCGGTGTCCGCGGGTTCTTTCTCGTTAAAGCCTGTTTCAGTTGTCGTTGTTGTTTTTAGTGAAGCGGCCTCACTCCCAGATGTTGCCTCTGTGCTCCCAGGTTGCCTGTTGTAAACAGCGGGCAATTTTAGCGGATGCGGTGCGCGGCTACGAAAGAGTTTTAGCCTTAGCGGTGTTTTCTCGTCGTTGAACGGTAAACGATGGGGGACCGAGCCGGGCACACGTTCACCGTCGCGGCCTCCATGCCCTGCAGGTTGCCTCGAGCCTGAAACTCATTCCCCCCGTGCCCACTCTGCCTCGACTCCCATACGCCTCACCCGCGCGCCTTTTTTTTTGGTGTCGATGTATTCGGTTGAGGAATGGGATCTTGGTTTTTGTGTCGAGTTTGTTTTAGAGTTTCGTTTGTGTTTTTTTTTCTGAAAATTATTTTTTTGCGTCAGATTTTAACGGGTTTTCGAATGCTTGATTGGGATTCAGTTGTGGCATTAGAATATCAGAATCAGAATCTGTATTTAGACCGGAGGAATCCGATGAGATATGAAGCTCGTTTTCACAGATGTCCAGTAAGGGCGGGTTAGCAAATTACAACAAGAATAAAAAAATATCATTTACACATGGGAGTGGAGTGATGGAGCGCACACTGCACTACAAACCCAGCCACCTGAGTCTGATTCTGATTCCCCACCATCACTCACTGATGTAGCGATGGAACTCTGAAACAGTCCTGGGTCCCCGCTTGATCAAACCCGCAGTGACCAGCGTGGTGAAGTAGGGCCAAATATCCCCCATGTCCGACACTGCATGGGGGAGGCCTTCATCCAGCATATTTGTTCTTATTTCCCGATGTTGTAAATAATAGAGTCTCACACGCATGATCTATGCACGTGTCTCGAGCATAATAATTATAATTGATGAATGAATGCGTCGCTCCGTGCCTAAGCAGATAGGTCAGTAACCTACTTGCTGTACTGCCTCCGTTATTGCATTCGCTAAAAACTTCTTGTCACCGCCTCGCACGCATAACGAGTCCGACCTCTACGCAACCCACCAACCCCTACGTTTTAAGTATACGGCAGAATACACACAACAACAACAACAACCGCCATTCGCCACTAAGTGGCGGTGACGTCACCACGACGCTTGTGCCAGGCTATGTGCACCCTGAGGCCACGTGAAGTGTCGAACGCCCGCTGGCAGGAGGTCACGGGGCAGACCCAGGTGCCACGGGTCGACTGACTGAGATGACTGGCTGATGCACCACCTGTGCCCCCTACTGTGCCAACCTGCTGTGCTTTAGCCACCCGGCGCTCCGCTCGCTGTTGTGAGCGTCGCTCCTCCGCCCTCCGTTGTTGTTGGAGGGCGACTGCCTCCAACTGCCCAGTAGCATCCTTCACGAGCCTCCTCCACAGAGGCCGATCTTGACACCGCTGGTACCAGTCATCGGCAAGTCCACTCAGCTCCACGTCCTCCTGTACCACATCACTCCATCTCTTCTCTAGCCCGTGCCGCGCCCGCTTAGCCCCCTCAATCCGGCCAAACAAAAGCTGTTTCGGCATGCGGTGGCTGGGCATGCGGGCTACATGACCCAGCCATCGCAGCCTTGCCTGCCGGAGGAGCTCACCGATGGGACCCTGCCCAGATCTTTCAAGGATTTGTGAGCTCCTCACACAATCCAGTCTGGTTAAACCCAGGATGGATCGTAGGCAGGCCAGCCTAAATGTTTCTAACCGGCGAAGATGTTCCATTAGGGGGGTCCACGTTTCGCAAGCGTAGAGAAGGGAGGGAATGACCGTGGCCGAGAAGACCTGAAGCTTAGTGCGGAGCGACAGACCAGGTAGCTTCCACACAGCGTTACGCAACCGATGAAAAGATATTGCCGCTCGACTGATTCGGAGTGAGACCTCTGCTGTTAAACTGGTGCCAGTCATAAGCACACTGCCCAGGTATGGGAAACTCTCCACTCTCTCCACAACTGCCCCATCACCGATT